TATTTGGGGAGATTTACCACTGAAGATAAAGGCAGTAGTGGGAGTTGTTTCCCATTTGTGCCTTTGACAAGAGGGCACTAACGATCCCCCCGTTGACACTGCATTGACTCTGCCATTGCCTTCGGTCTCTGGTGCTACTCAGTACTGCCAGTGGTTCCTCCCCTTCTTCATTTGTCAAGGTTTGCTTGCTCATTTAATCAGGAGTGACGTGTTTATTATTAAATATTTAGAAGCATCTGTCAGGATGAACTCATCCTTTTTCTCGCTTTGAATCTCATCATCTGTTTTTTTTTTAAATCATAAATAGATTTCCTAAGGGCTCACCTTCCATTTATGAAATATTCTCCACTTGGCCATGATGCATTCTTCTTTGAAAAGTCTTTGTCAGATCGTCCTATGAAATTATTTTTCTTGCCTAAGCCCAGCAGGTCGAGGCGGCAGTGGTGGTGAGCGTGCCATTCCACTCCAGTCTGGGCGACAAGAATGAGACTTCAACTCAAAAAAAAAAGAAATTATTTTTCCTTCAAGTGAAGTTGTGTGTTGGTCCCCCCCCACCCCAGTTTTTATTCCTACCATGAAATTTCTTCATAAGCTCAGATTAATTCATAAGCTCATAAGATTTTTATGTGTGTCTTTATCTTGAGTGAAAAGATGTTTGGTTTTTCTCTTCTCTTTTCTCTCTCCCTCTCTCTCTCCTCCCACTCCTTCTCTGTCATCCTCTTGGCCCCGTGTTTATAACATCCTCATTCTTAGTGACTTTTAACACTTACATTTTAACACGTGTTTAGCGTGTATTTTCCACAGCATTTAGGTTCAATGAGCACATATAAACTCTTCCAAACAACATGAGATCTCAGCAGATTTTCAGTTTCCCTGCAGTCTCCACCTAGCCTTACAGCCAACTCCTACGTTAAAACCCACGTATTGAATTTTTGTTCAATATTATCACATGTGTATTTACTTTTACTTTGTGCAATAATATTTCTTCATCACTTACCTGTAAGTATTGTTGAATTCTTTGCTTCTATTGCGTCCTACCTTTCTTCCTTAGGATTTTTTTCCCCTGAAATATAGCCTAGAGTCATTTTTTCCAGAAAAGATCCAAAAATTTTTTTTGTCTTTACATACTCCCAAATTTTTTGTTGTCCTTGAATGTCACAGAAAACTTGGCATTTTGTGATTCTAGGTTTAAACATGTTTTCCCTTGGTATTTTCAAGACATGCATTTAGAATTCAAGGCTGCTCATGAGAAATCTCCCGCTATCCTGACCTTTGTTCCGTTTAAAGTCACCTGTTTGTTTTCTTCTGGAAGCTTCTCTAGGTTGATCCTTTTATTCTTGGAAGACTAAAAGCTTACCAGTGTAAACCAGGCATTGCCCTATTAAAAGAAATCTTGGAAATTAAGCCCATTCTCTGTCCTCTACTACAAAATCTCTGTGAAGTAGCACCCCTTGAGGGAAGTCCTTGCTACTGCCTTTAAAAAATATTTTTTAAAGGAATCTTGCTCTTCATTTCGTGAATTGTTGTCTCCGTGAAAGCCGTATGAAGTTCTCTACCTGGTTTCACATGAAAAATCTCCAAACAACAGTGGCTTTACAATATGGAGGCTTCTTTTTCCTTCACATAAAAGATATCCAGTGGTAGGAATCTCAGGCTGGTGTGGTAACTCCAGAGTGACCACAGGAGTCCAGCTTCCTCTCTTTCTGTTGCATTATCCTTGTATATATCTTCCGTCCTCATGGTAACCATAAGGTCCAAAGTGGCTGCTGGAGTGCCAGCTATCACTTCCAAGTTGCGGGCAGGAAGAAGGAAGAAAGGCAGAAGGGCAAAAAACGAACCCCTTCACCTTAGCCAACTGCCTTTAAGCAGCCGCTTTTGGAAGACAAATACAGTGCTTTCACTCACATCTCCTTGGAAAACATTTAGTCACTTGACCACACCTAGCAGCAGGACAGCATAGGAAATATAACCTTTTAGTCTGTGCAGCAATAAACCTGGATAAAACCTGGACTTCTGTTGCTGGGAGAAAGGGAACAGCTAGGTGACAGATACTCTCTGCCACACCTGCCCTAATTCTCTCTGCCTTTTGAATGCTGGAATTCTGGAATCTCTTTTCCAGGTCTCAACTTTTCCTTAAAGGTATTTCATCTCTTTGCCTATTTACTCTGTCTGCCACATCTAAGTTTTTTATGTGTGGTGTTCATTTTTTGGTTTGGCCAGTCATTGATTTTTTTTTTTAATTATGAGTCTCATATTTTCAAATGTCAAAAACTCTCTTCTTTGCATAGCAGTTTCTTCTTTCCAGTGACTGTGAATTCTCAAATCTCCCCAAGGATGCCAATTTAGATGTTTCAAAGTTTCATTTTATTTTTGCTGTATCAGAGCATGTCTGTAAAAGTGTCTGTTGGGTCAAGAAATACCCTCGTACTGATGACATACAGATGCATAGACACATATACAGACATGAATAGACACACACACACACACACATATACACCTACATACATACACATGCCCGATACTGATGACGGGAAATACAATCACTGTAGGTATAGTGGTTGAGGACACAGAGTCGAGAGCCGACCTGCCGTGGGCTTCAAATCTAGCCTGCTCCTTCCTGGCTGTGTGACTGGGGACCCACTGCCTAATGTCCCCGCCTTTGTTTCCTCATCTGTAAAGTGGGGGCTCTCATGGTAACCTGTGCCTAGATGTGTTAATATCTGTAAAGCCTTTTGAACAACGCCTCACTCATGGAGAACATTAAAATACGGTTAGCCATGACTGTGAATTCTTCCCATGTGTGTGAACATTCCGTTTGTGTTCTTTGGTGACATTAACTTGTTGTAACCTTTTACAGCGAAAGACACTAACCAGCCCTCCCTAATTGTGGCTGCCATGGTATGTTTGTTTAAGCCCCCAAATTCATCTGTTGAAGCCTAATCCTCAGTGTGAGGGTGTCTAGAGGTAGAGCCTTTGGGAGGTGATCGGTGTCGCTAGAAAAGGCCCTGGAAGAGCTCTCTTGCCCCTCTCGTGTGAGACTACAGTGCGATATCTATCAGGAACAGGCCCTTACCAAGTACCAAACCCGCCAGCACCTTGACCTTGAAATTTCTAGCCTCCAGAGCTGTGAGGATGAGTGTCTATTGGTTATACGCCACCGAGGCATGGCATCGAGTTCTGGTAATCCTGGAGGTTTTTCTTTTTCCACTTTGTCTTTTGCTTGATGGTTCAGTATGCTTTATAAAGTACAGATTTCACTTTGATGTACCTCTGTCAGTCCTTGTCTCTGATTTCTTCTACTGCTTTTAAGCTTAAATCGTTCAAAAGTATTCACATCTATGGTTTGCAAGTTTTATATGATTTAACTTTTTGAGTTAAGTTTTTAATTAACCTGCTATTTGGGGAATGGTGTGAGATGGGGATTTAAGACAATATTTTTTATGTTGTTATTCAATTATCTTGGCATTTTAAAATCAAATATTCCATCTTGTTACATTGGTTCCTGGTTCCTTGTCTTCATCCTACAGAACATCCTTGGGGAACACAGAGTTTATGTCCAGTCAGCCTGTCTAGTGACACATTTTGTGTGTGTGTGTGTGTGTGTGTGTGTGTGTGTGTACGGAGGTGTATATGCACCTGTATGTGTGTGTATGTGCACGTCTATGTGTGTCTGCATATGTGTCTATGTATCTGTGTGTCTATGTGTGTGCATGCATGTCTGTGTCTGTGTAATTATGTCTGTGTGTCCGTGTATGCAATGTATGTGTGTATGTGTTTGTGCATGTGTGTCTGTATGTGTGTCTATGGGTATATGTATGTGTGCTCGTGTGTGTATTTGTGTATGCATGTATGTGTACGTTGTGTGTATGTGTGTATGTGTATATAAATGTAGTGTGTCTGTGTGTAGGTGTATATATGTGTGTAGGTGTGTGTGTCTTTGTGTCTGTGTGTCTGTGTATGTATATGTGTATCTGTGTGTATATGTAGGTGTATATATGTCTGTATGTGTATGTATGTATGTCTATGTGTCTGTATATGTGTCTATGTTTCTGTATGTCTATGTGTGTGCATGTGTGAATATGTCTGTGTATATGTATATATGTGTGTGTGTGTGTGTGTTACTATGTGTGTGTGTGTGTGTGTGTGTCTGTGTATGTGAGTGTGGTGTGTCTGTGTGTGTAGGTGTGCGTAGGTGTGTATGTGTGTTTATGTGTGTGTCTGTGTGTCTATGTGTGTATGTGTGTGTCTGTGTCAGGGCATGTGTGTGTTGTTTGTGTAGGGGTGTGTGGATGAGCATCTCGAGTGAAGTTTCGAACAATCTTATGGAAGAGAAGGAGCACAGCTTCCTGCTCTGCCCTCCTGGGGACTTCCCTGGCTGGGCGAAATGAGGAGGAGGAAATTCCCAGGCTATGTGGAGAAAGGGGAACTGGCCTACTCGGGGTGTCAGGAGGGATGACAGTCAACGAGCAGGGCGGGGGAGCCCTGACCTGTGTGCTCCAGAGAGGATGTGTGCATGATCGCACCAGGGGATGACACCAGGCACAACACCCAGTGACTCCCCCGAGCAGACGTGAACCAGGGAACTTGAGCCCAAACAAAGCCTCAGCCTCCCTCTCCACTGTTCTCAGTCGCTGCCTGGTGGTAGTTGCCGAGGACATGAGTGGGGATCCACTGCCTCAGAGGCCACAACGCCCACATCCCTCAGCTCCATGGTCAGGGGAGGGCACTCTCCCAGGGTGTCAAACATTAGAGCCCCCTTTCTGGGATCTCCCCAGCAATGACAGCTGTGTCCCTGGGACTAGGGGGAGGGGAGGTCCCTGCTGACTTCTCCTTCTGCAGGCCTAGAGGAGACAGAGGCCAGGAGCCAGGAGCCAGAAGATGGACCTGTCCTGGCCCCCTGCTGAGCAGGACCACGGGACTCTGGGCCACTGAGGACCCTGTCCCTGCCCACAGCCAGAACCACGTGGGCCAGCCCTGCTTGTCTAGAGTTGACTGGGGACATGGCGCTAACCTGGGTGCTGCTCCTTGTGGACCTGCTGGCTCTGAGCTGGGGGCCTGGCCGGGCAGGGGCAGAGGGTGAGTCCAGTTGCACCTTCCCAGTCCTCAACCCCTTCTCCCTGCTGGGCCCTGGAGAGAGACCACCCCCACTGCATCCCCAGGACCAGAGCTTCCCTCCTCCCTGTCCCTCCCCTTCCCCCACCTCCTCCTCTTCTTCTTGCCCACTCTCCTCCCTCACTGCTCCCTTCCTGTTCTTCCCTGGACTTCCCATCCTGCCCTTCCCTTGTTCCCTGTGCACCTGCTCATCCCTTCCTGGTCTCCTGGAAAGTCCAGCTGATGGTGCCTGCTTCCCTGCCCACATTTCTCAGGGTGGCATTCTAGGCCTCTAGCCTCCAGGGTGGCTGTCCTGGCCTCTCCTCTGTCCCGTCTTCCCCAACCAGACACTCTGCTCCACTGACAGCCTCCAGCCGTTCCCACCTCCAGGCCTTTGCTCCTGCAGGCTCAACCTGGGGAATCCCCCCACCACCCTCTGCAGCACCCTCCCTGTGCCTGGAGGCCCTGCTGGGGTGCTCCCGGGGCTCCTGGGGATGAATGAGTCCTCTCAAGTGCTCCTAGAGACCTGGGTTCTGGGACAACCATGGAAACCGCACCTCCTTTTCCAAATACTGGGCCCCCAGGCTGAGGCCCAGGATGGAGGGTCTCTGCCACGCCGCATCTCAGGTCCAGGGCAGGGCCTCTGCCCAAGGCATGTCCCTGTCCTGGGGGGGATGTTCGGGGGGTAGTCCGGGAAGGAGCAGCACACAGCCGGGGCGCAGGAACCGTGCTGAGAACCTACGAGAATACTGTGTCTCTGTGAGGAGAAGAGGGTCTTCAAGCAGGCCCCACCCCGGCAGAGCCCTAGCCCCATTTGCAGGGACCTTGCAGGGAGAAGTGACCCCGTCTTCCTCTCTTGGTCAGAAACCATCCCGCTGCAAACCCTACGCTGCTATAACGACTATACCAGCCACATCACCTGCAGGTGGGCAGACACCCAGGATGCCCAGCGGCTCGTCAACGTGACCCTCCATCGCCGGGTGAATCAGTGAGTTGCGCTGGGCTAAGGGGCCAGGGCCAGGGTGGCAGTGTTCACTGTGCCTGGCGTGGGGCTGAGGCATGGAGAGGGTCAGCGTCAGCAGCCTGGGCAGAGGACAGAGGAGAAAGCGGCCGTCCCAGGAGCTCCTGCCCTGCCAGCCCCCTGCCAGGCAGGCCCCGCTATCTGACACTGGATGTCTGAGCAGAGCCTTGTACGCAGATGTGGCTGTGGTTGACGATGGCTGTGGTGACCTCTTCTCTTATTTTGCCACAAATCAGCACAGTTGTCCCCATGACCCATCTTAGGTCCTCCTCACTGGGAGTCAGGTGGGGCAGGGCCACAGTGCCCAGGTCCCAAATGAGAAATTGAGGCTGTAAGGCGAGGCCCGCACCCTGGCCACACAGCAATGAGCAGCACAGCAGGGTGCCGTGTGTCAGGCGGCTCTGCCCTCTCCAGGGTTCCTCCTATCTGGGCTTCCATCTTTCTCACCTGAGGCATCCTGGGCACATACCCCCTCAAGAGGTGACAGGCAGTGCTCTGGGATGTCGGCGAGAGTCTAAGTCAGCCGTAAGTGACATCATTAGGCACCTAGAGCCACAGGGACAGCCACATCCCCTTCGAGCCACCTGTGGGGATGGCTCTGTCACCCCGTCACCCTACACCTCCACGCCGTCACCTCTCCTTCACTCCTCAAGTACCACCTCGCCCTCCCACCTCGCTGTGACCTCCTTCCTGCCGCTGGACAAGTCCCAGAGAGGGCCTCTCTCCCACCCCCCAGCCCCAGGCCTGGCCCTGAACTAGACCTCACCCTACAGTGAGTTACCTGTCCTGGCTCCTGTCTGAGGCCTGAGACCAATTCCACCTCTTCTTGTTGCTCAAGGACATCTCTGCCCCCAGTCTCCACCCTCCTCTGTGCCCTCACCAGTGTTCCCTCCTGGGACCTTTCCCAATCACCCTGCAAACCCGCTTGGCTCCTCCTTATAGACACCAACAAGGTGGGCAGCACCGGCATCTCCTGACCCCACGACCCTGTGGCCGGCCCCTTCCTCGGCTTCCCTTGGCAGCAGCACTCCTCTCAAGAGTGGTCAACACTTGCTGTGCCCAAGGCCTGTCCAGTTACTTCTTCCTGAACGTGCCCTTAGGATCCTGCTGCCCATCAGCGCTCCACACCACTCTTGTCTGTCACTGAATGTCCCCTGTGTTAGAGCTAAGGGTCATCCTCCACCCTCCTTGTGCTGGACCCATGGGCAGCTCCGAGGCAATGATCACTGCATCTTCCCACAGCTCCTCCAGCACCTGGCCTGACCCACCATGCCCCGCGGTGCTCCCCGTGCCCCTGGCCGCCCTTGCCCTCTCCTTGTCTGCCTCCTTTTCTTTCTCTCCTCTGCCCAGCGTGAGGTGCCCAGAGTGGGACTCCGACCTGTGCTCTTGTGTAGCCAGTCTGCAGAGGGCCCCCAGGCTGGTGGTGGAGACCTCCGAGGTGGGTCTCTAGCCCAGACATCCTCCAAGGCCCAGACCTGCAGGCCGCTGGCCTCCGCACCTGGTCACCTACACAACGGGCAACTCTGACTCACTGTCCTAAACCAAATTCCCATTCTCACCCCCAAGAGACTCCCCTGCCGTGGTTTCCCCTACTCACTTCACTGAATGGGAGCTCCCAGTGGCTCAGAATGAACAGCTAGGAAGTGTTTGTTGTGTTTTGACATCCCTCTACCCCCTTTCTGTCCCCACGGCAGCATGTGAGCCAGCGGCAAATGCTGTCAACCTTACCTCACACAGAGCTTGACTGTCACCCACGCTGGCACCACTGCCTGGGTCCAAACTACTTCCTGTCACTTGGATATTCCAGCAGCCTCTCAACTGCTCTCCCTGCTTCCAATATGGCCACACTCTCCACTCCACTTATTCACAACCCAGGACCCAGAGGAATCCTTTCAAAGCATGTGTCAAACTAGACAACTCCTTGCCTCACCAACTCTCTAAATGCTTCCCATAACTCACAGTGAACACCGGTCCTGTCACCTTGCTCACTAGTCTCCTGGAACACGCCCCCAACACTCCATGTGCACTGGTTATATGCCTAATCAGGTAACGCACCAAACCTGTGCCTGCCCCAGAGCCTTTGAGTTTTCTGTTCCTGGGTCCAGAAATCCCATATCTTCCAACTTGTGTGCTTTCCTTCAACTCCTTGAAGAGCCTGCCCAAATGTCACCTTCTTAGTAAGGCCTCACCTGTCCCCACTATTTCAAACTGCATCTTCCACCCCCAACCCCCCCTTTCCATGTGCTTCGCCCCCTTCCTTGCTGTATTTATCCACATAAAACTTCCCCATTTGACACTCTGCGTATTTAGTTCAGGAGTTTAACGGGTGTGTCCTTCTCCCAGGAGGCCAGTTCCCTGGGCAGGATGTGTGTGTTTTGTTCCCTGCCAGGCCCCTGGCTCTGGACAAGGCCGGGCACTGGCGACCCCTCAGTAAACACCTGGTGAGTGCACCCGCCGAGCTAAGCCAAGTGCTCTCTCGACAGGAACCCCCTGGAGCCAGTGTCCTGCCAGCTCAGTGGTGACATGCCCTGGTCAGCCTGCCCATCTCCCCACTGTGTGCCCAGAAAGTGCGTCATTCCCTACGAGGTGTTCGTCATCGCCGACAATGACTATTTCTCATTCCAACCAGACCGGCGCCTGGGCGTCCAGCGCACTGTCACTCTGGCCCAACACGGTGAGGGGTGGGGCTCCCTGGCCGGGGCTTGGACCCCTGTCTACACAGTGGGCACCAGGGGATGACCCAGGGAGCCTTTCAGGGGAAGACCCTAGCTTGAGCCAGTTGAGATTCTTGAGGGAAGAGGATGTGGTCGCCTTAGAAGCAGGCACTGTGAGAGGAGCCCAGGCCAGAGCTCCCTGTGCCCTGGCTGCTCCCGCCTCCCGCCAATCACAGACCTCCAGCTCTGGAGGCTTCCCTTTCAGAAAGAACCTAACCAGCTTTAAAAAACACTTTCATTTAGTGGTCTCCTCTCGTTTCTGCGTCAGCCTCCTTTATGGGTTGAGGCCCTGGAGGCCAGAGAGGCCACATAACTCTTCCAAAGTTCCAGTGCTGAGCAATCACGACAGGGATGGGTTGGCCTTCCTGAGGGCTTCCTGCACTTTAGACAGGAAGCCGGTCTCTAGTGTCCCCAAGGAGAGCCTGAGTATACCCTGGGAGCCCACGGCGGCTTCTGAAATGGTCCATGGTCTTGGGTGGGTAGATGATCATTTCCTACAGCTGGGTCGTGATTGACTCTAGTTTAGAAAAGAACATAAGCAGCACTTCACACTCACGGATTTGGGGAACTTCCTACTTAGAATGAGGCTGACATAAAAGCAGAGGCATTTTGTGAAGACTTAGCGCAGATGTGGCAAGAACCATCGGGTGGCAGGTGTGAGGAGACACTGCAGACGCTCATTTAACTCAACACAGCACCAGGTGGGGCTGTCATTAGTGCCTTTTGGCCACTGATGAAACTGAGACAGAAAGGGGGTGACTTGCCTATGGCCTCTCAGCTACTGAAGGCAGTGCTGAGATCAACCCAGGATGGTCTGAAGCTCTGGTCTTAACCACTAGGCCACCCAGCTGCTCCTTGCCAGGGTCAGACATCCTATTTGTGTGAATATTTGGGTTTAAAAGTCTCCCTAAGCAACCAGACACAGAAACTTCAGGAAACCAGGAGCCATGTCATTCATTAGTGTTTTTTCTTGGCGAACCCAGTAGGTCTCATCAGATGTCTGCTGGCTTTATTGCTGGAGGGATTTCAGGAGAAGCCCCCAAAGGTTGTCCAAATTCATTCATTCATTCACTCACCATGTCCCCAAAATTCACTAAGCAGCCACATCTCAGGCCAGAGGTAGGAAGGAGGTCAAGACCAATCCCTGCCACCCCCACCAAATTGTCTCTTAGGGGATGCAGACATGGAAACACATACCTCCCCTGGGTCTGGTAAGACTATGGTGCAGGGATTTCTAATGAGCTACGATGGGACAAGAGAGAGGGACCGAGGGACTCTGCCTGGGGTAGGGATCCCAGGAGGCTCCTGGAACCAGGGGCATTTATGCTGGGCATGGACTGCAGGAGGAGGTCTGGGCAGGAAGAAGGAGCTTGGACAGCAGGAGGGGGGCCACCCCAGCAGGCGGGACAGTGGGGCCTCAGGACAGAGTGTCCTCACGTCACCTTTGACAGGAGCTCATGTCACACGTGCACAGTGTCTGCATGGCTCCCAACTGCTGTCACACCCAAACCCCACAGGTGAAGGGCTGAGACTGGGAGGGACAGGGGTCTGGCTCTGCAGGTGGGGCAGGTATGGCTTGGAACCCGGTGTCCACACAGAAGGCCACACAGGCTCAACTGCCCCGTCCATCCTTTAGAGACCCTTCCTTTCTTCTCCCTCCAGTCCAGCCCCCTGTGCCCAAAGACCTCCAGATCCGTGCAGCCGAGGACAACTTCCTGCTGACCTGGAGTGTGGCCCTTGAGGGCCCCCACACCCACTGGCTGTCCCAAGGGGACTTGGAGTTTGAGGTGGCCCACAAGTGGCTTCACGGCTCCTGGGAGGTAGGAACCTGAGCCATCTGTGCCCGAGGCCAACATGATGAGTCAGCAGCCCTCCTCCAGTGCCGCTTTCCTCCCACAGGACGCCACCACCCTCCTCTCCAATGCCTCCCAGGCTGTGCTGGGGTCAGAGTACATGGTGCCTGGCAGCACCCACGTGGCCCGAGTGAGGACCCGCCTGGCCCCAGGCTCAGGGTTCTCAGGACGGCCCAGCGAATGGAGCCCAGAAGTTCACTGGAACTCACCACCAGGTAATGCAGCCAGAGTCCGAGAAATGCCCCTGGGACCACAGCATCTTCCCACAGCTCCTCCTGCACCTGGCCTGGCCTACCATGACCACCCAGTACTCCCCGTGCCCCTGCCTGCCCTTTCTTTCACCTTGCCTGCTTTTGGTTCTCTCCACTGCTGAAGAGAGCATGGAGGATGGGCATCAGGAGTCCAGGGACAGCAGAGGTCCAGGAGGCTACCCTGTGGCTTGCTGGATCTCTACTGCGGCCTCTCTTCAAGCCAACTCTGCATCTGTTCACTTTCTGCTAATAACAATTACTAATACCAACGAATAGCACTGTCAGCAGCCAGGTGTCAATGAGTGCCACACGGCATGGCCACAACGCCATTCTGTTCAATCCCCAGTATGGAGATGCAGGCCCAACCAAATCTGTTCTCCGGGAGGGTGGGCAAGTACCCAGGATTCTCTCTGAGCTGTGGGCACACGATGGGCAGGTCCAGGCTGAGGTTCAACCCTTTTCTATTGGCCCCAAAGCCCACGGTCTCTGTGGGTGAGTCCTGGGGTGGGTGCCCACTGACAATGAATGAGGAGGACACACATGAGACACTGTCTCCCTCCCAGGGGACGAGGCCCAGCCACACAACCTACAGTGTTTCTTCAACGGGTCCGTGCTCGACTGCTCCTGGGAGGTGAGGTCAGAGGTGGCCAGCTCGGTCTCCTTTGGCCTCTTCTACAAGCCCGGCCTGGATGCAGGGTGAGCACCCCCTCCCTCTGCTCCTCCCCACCTCTCGGGCTTGCTCTCTGCAGTCTCCCTCCTGTCCCTGAGGTCCCAGCAGAAGGCACAGCCCACTCGAGGTCTCCTCCCCTCTGCGGCCCCTCTCTGCTCCCAGCCCTCAGCTCAGCTGTGGTCCTCAGGGAGGAAGAATGCTTCCCAGTGCTGAAGGAGGAGCCCCGCCACCTCTACACCAGGCACTGGTGTCAGATTCCTGTGCCCGACCCGGTGACCCATGGCCAGTACTCCATCTCTGTCCAACCAAGGAAGGAGGAGAAATACATAAAGAGCTCAGAGAACAGTGAGTTTTCTCCCAGCCTGCTGTGCGGGTGGTCTCTGGTCAGCACTTCCTCAGGGTGTAACCCAAATAAACCCAGGGTTCCTCCTGGCTCAGGCTTCGTGCTTGTTCCTTTCTAAAAAATGCAGCCCAGTGAACAAAAGTGAGCAAAAATAATTCTGGTGTCTTCTTGAAGTTCTCATAAAGCAATAATACAACATGACAATGGCCTAAAATATGAATGAAGACATGATTGCCAATCCCAGGACCAGGTCTCTAACCTCGGTTGCCTCTCTCCTCCCTACCTCCCCAACCCGGCAACTCTCCAACTCCTGCTTCTGGCCACACCCTCCCGGTCCTCCCACCAAAACTTTCCCTTCCACTCCTGAATGCATGTTTCTCTTTCTGATTTTCCAAACTCCCCTCTGAGTGATATTCCCAGTCTTCAACATAATTCATTCACGATTTGCTTTTCAACTGGGGGCTGAGGTGTGCGCAAGTAAGTTGTTGATCCTTACAGCTTAAGGTCCCTCTTTGCTGCTACACAGCAAGGATCCCAAGACAAGGGAACTCACCGCACTGGGTCATGATGACCGAATCCACTGCTAATTTCCTGGGATCCTCACTGGGAAAAGGAATTCCGATGGCTCAAATGCACAAAATGTAAAAGGGCCTAGTATAATGCTTACCATACAGGAGACCTTGACAGATGGCACCCGTTACCATTATTTTTATAAAAGCCCTGTGAAGACTTGGAGCACATGAGCATTCTCTTTTTTCTGATGGGTAGACTGGAGCTCAGATGGGTTGAATGACTTACTTAAAGTTACACAGCTAGTAGCAGGCAAATCAAGGATAGAGTCCAAAACTTCTGTTGTGTTTACCTGGCACCTCTTTCAATTTGTGGGTCTGTTGGCCAGGAGGGAGGTACCATCTTGCCTTTTGGTTTGGCCGCTATCTGCCTGGGGACAGAGCTGCTGAAGGCCTGCTATTTTGGCTGTACTGGGGATTTTCTGGCGGTGAGAGCCTGTGAACCAGCCCTGGTCCGGAGATATCTCCCGACACCTCTGGGAGTGTTGAGGGGGAGGGGTCTAGGAGAGAGCTTGGCCTCAGAGACCCTGAAAAAGCAAAGGATCAAAGGGAGTGGCTGAGGACCATAGCGTTCCACGTCAGAGCTACAGAATTTGCCTCTGCCACTGCTTAGCTACCTGTCTGTCCTCGGGCAAGTTACTTAATGGTTCTGTGATTCCATGTCACTGTCTGTAACTTGTAAAGGTTCTTGGTACCTACTGTGTAGGGCTGTTGTTAAAACTGAGTGAAATAATTCGTGTAGAGTAAGCATGTATAAGTGTAAGCAGTACCTAGACCACAGTCAATATTCTAGAACAGAATCGATCAATCGTGGTTTTATTTTTACAAAATGTAGGAGTAGCCAAAGCTTTGGGCCATCTCAAACAAAACAAGTGTATCTCAGCATCTCCCAAGAGAAGGCCTACTCGGGTCAAAATAGATGAGATGGTGAGGGAGGAAGGCCAAGGGACCCCACATGAGCAGGACTCATACCAGGGGAGATGGCACTGGCATCGAGCACTTCATGGGAACATTCCGTTGGAGGGTGGAGGTGATGACCACCCTGAAAGCTTCCCTCCCTCCAGTCCAGATGGCCCAACCAACCCTCAATGTGACCAAGGACGGAGACAGCTACAGCCTGCGTTGGGAAGCCAAGAAAATGCCGTACAAACACATAGAGCACACCTTTGAGGTCCAGTACAGGAAGGACGCAGCCACGTGGGAGGTGAGGCTGAGCCCAGCAAGGGTGACGGGAAGTGCAGGAGCATGCTCCTTGCCCCCAGCAAGCAGCCAGTTGGAGGGAGGCATGGAGCTTGGGGATCACAACCTTGTGTGGTCAGTAGGTCACTGTCCCATTTCTTGGTGAAGCAGCTGAAGTTTGGGGAGGGTTAAGACTTGGACAAAAACCAACAGCTGATGCTGAGTTGTAGGAAGCATGGACTTTCAGGGCTGGGAGAGGCTTAGGAAAGGCTGATGAAGGTCTCAAAAGTCATAAGTCTTTCTCCAGAGGACTCTTGTCTGGATGCAATGTGCAGCTGCTCAAAGCAGAGCTGTTCCCAACAGGCAGGTGGGGATCAGCCGGGGGCTCAGAGTCCTCCCTCAACTCCTCAGGCCCAGGGTGGAGAACCTGGGAGCCTTAATGAGCCTAGAGCAGAAACCACAGAGCCAGTTCAGACCCACAGGCTAGAAACGGGGATACTGAGGCCAGGAGTGAGGCAGGTCAGTGCTGGAGCCAGGAGCAGGTCCCGGACTCTTGAACTCTCACTCAGGGTCCAGAGTCCAGGCCACCTGCACTGCATCTCCGGAAAGGCCATAGTGTGGTCCAGGCTTCCCCAGAAAGGCTACAGGGACGAGGGGTCTCAAAATGTAAGGAAGCCAGGCAACTCCCAGAGTTTTGGACTTGGTCTCGTCCTATGGCAGAGGGCGGTATTGCAGAAGGTGGAGTCCCGGTCCTGTCCACAGGCCCACAGTGCTACCTCTGGTGGGGTACCCTGTGGTGGAGAGAAGCCATGGCAGGTCTGGGGTGCAGCCACCGTGGGGGCCACAGGGAGCCAGAAGAGCGGGATGTCGAGTGGAAGGGGTTTGCAGCTGCACTCACCGGCCCCAGGCAGGAGCCTCAGCCTCACACACCTGCTGAGCCCACCACCCCACAGGACAGCAAGACAGAGATCCTGCAGAACACCCACAGCATGGCCCTGCCAGCTCTGGAGGCCGCCACCAGATACCAGGCCAGAGTGAGGGTGAAGCCGGCCCGCGTCGGCTACAAAGGAGTCTGGAGCGAGTGGAGTGAAGAGCGCTCCTGGGACACAGAGTGGGGTAGGTTTCTCAGGACTCCACCCGCCTCCCAGGACACCCCGAAGGCAGAGGACAGGGTGATCCGGACACAGAGACTCAAGGCCATCTTCCCTCCCATATGCTGCTCCCAGGTGAAAAAGAGCAGAGGCCTGCGGGGGCCCAGCCTGGGAGGGGCTCAGGGATGGCTAGCAGGAATCATCAGGGACCTCTCTGGGGGCCTTTGCACATGGTGATTCCTCTGCCAGCATGTCTTTCCCCACCTCCACCTCTCTAATCCTTCCTATTCCCGGAGGCCCATCTTATCTGCTACCTCCCTCAGGAAGTCCCCCTTGATTGCCACAAACTGGTCATTGCCTTCCCCATAGCACCTTCCTGTGTTCCCAGCACTGTGAACACTGTGGGGGTTCAGACCAGTGCCCTCTTCCTAGTGTGTGTCTGGCCTTCCCCTGAGCCACCCACGGGGGCCACTCCAGAGTCTTGTGCCTGCACAAAGCAGGGTCTTGGGGAGCTACCAAGCCAAACTCTCTGCCCCTCCTCCTGAGCCTCCAGCCTTCTCCCTCCCTGATGCTAATACTCCTTGTCCCTCCTGATGCCGGAAGAGCTGCCCATGTGGGTGCTGGTGCTCATCCTGGTTCTCTTCACCCTGGCTGGGCTGCTGGCCCTCCGCTTCTGTGGCATCTACGGGTACAGGTAAGAGGACTCTGCAGTTGGGGGGCAGTGCCCAGGACCCCATGAGGCACCAGGGATCCCACCCCAGCCCCTTCCAAACTCTGCTCTGCTACCCACTTCCTGGGCCTCAGTTTCCCCTCTGTACATGAGTGAGGGAGCAGCTGGCCCTGAGGTCTCTGATGACTGTCACCTCCCTGGTGTCTTCCAGGCTGAACAGGAAGTGGAAGGAGGCAATTCCCAACCCCAGCAAGAGCCACCTGTTCCAGGTAGAATCTGACTGTGAGGAGTGGGGTGTCCTCTGCTCCTGCCTCTGCAGTCTCCGTCCCCACCTCCTCTTTCCCTTCCTTTGGGTGGGCTTTGGGTGGTGGGGGTAAGTGGGTTGGGGAGAAGCCTGGGAAGCTCCAGGAGCTGGGCCAGCATTGGGAAGTCCATCCGGGGACTCCCTGGACATCTGGAGGTGCCCAAGCCCAGCCTTGCCTGTCGGGAGGGGAGGACTGAGTGGGCTGGGTGGGCTTGAGGAGGGATCACTGCTACCGTAACGGGTCGGGTGTTGGGAGGCAGAAGGGCTTACCGGGGACAGGACACCTGAGCAGAGCTTTGAAGGTATGGTGGAGCCGGTGGCAAAGGTCGCTGCTTTCCAGGTGGGTGGGAGTGAAGACAGCTTCCTTCCTGAAGGGATGGAGGGTGGGGTAGGAGCCTGGACACAGCTAGGGAGGCTGAGGCAACCCCAGGGCGATGCTGGCTCAGGGTGGTGGGAGCCATGGCCAGGCAGACAGGGCGTGGAAAGGAATGGGAGTGAGCATGGGGGCAGCGACATGCCAGGCCAGAATCCACAGGAACAGGGTCCTGTCCTCAGGCATCAGGGACCCCAGGGAGTCAGAGCCCCTCTCCAGGCCTTACTTTCCTGATGTCAGAAGTCGGTGGCAGGTCCTGGGGATGTGAGGATTCTTCCATGTCTGAGGGTTCCCACACCCCCATCCCCCACCACCTTCCACCCTGCTCTCCCCACCCTCCACCCCACCACCCACTCACCAGCCCATCCCCGCCAACCTCCACCCTGCCCCCACCACCCTCTGCCCCACCCCCACCTGCCAAGGCCTCTTCACACCCACAGACCCAAATGTCCCTGTTCTCACAGAATGGGGGTGCAGGGCTGCGACTCCCAGACAGCACATCAGCCTTCAGCAAGAGCCCTCCACACCAGGGGCCGTGGGACAGCCGCTTCCCTGCACTGGAGGGGTGAGTGTCTGGAATCCTGACCTCGGGGGAGCAGGCAGGGAACAGACCCCAGTGTGCACATCAGGGGCTGGAGTCAGGTGGCCTCTGGCCTGTGATTCACGGTGAAGAGGTCCAAGGGGGGTTCGCTTGCACTAAAGCAGGAGACACCCCAGTTGGCTATCAGGAAAAACTTCCTCCTCCTTAGGGGGGTGACAGACAAGGGACTTGGCCAGAGGCAGAGGCCTGGAGCGGATGTCTACTCTGGCTGCTGCCCAGGGAGGCACCACACTGCAGAGGCTTCAAGGGGAGGCCGGAGGTGTCCATCCCAGGGCCTCAGCGCCGAGGCAGGCAGTCCCCACCGTCTCACCCAGGAGAGCAGATGGCAGGGTTGGTAGGATGAAGGGAGAATTGCACAGGGTACAGGTCCCAAAGGAGACGTCCAAGGGGACAGAGCCCCGCCCAGCAGAAGAAGACCTTGACCTGTGAAGAGGAGAAAGGGGTGATCCAGAGATGATGAGTCAGGGTCAAGCATTCCTCTCTGTGGTCCCTGCACCCCACCTCCCTGTCTCGGGCCTCCCAGAGAATCCCCATCCCCTCCCACCCAGATCCCTGGGCACCAGCTGAACCCAAGCTGAACGCTCTGCCCAGGGTAGTCCCAACGTCTCTGCCCATGTTCTCCCCACAGGGTGTTCCCCATGGCCTTCGGGGAGAGCGAAGTGTCACCTCTTACCACAGAGGACCCTAAACGTGTCTGTGATTCACCATCTGGATCTGACATAACTCAGGCTGCCTCAGGCCTGTCCACAGAGCAGCCCTCCGGCCCCCAGCCAGGCTCCCCAGCCCCCTCAGGCCAGCCTGAAAGCCAGGTCTCCAGTTTCGACTTCAATGGTCCCTACCTGGGGCCACCCCACAGCCGCTCCCTGCCTGATCTTGTGGACCAGCTGGCGACCCCACAGACGAGGGTGGGACGGAAGTCATCACCTCCAGGGTCCCTGGAGTACCTGTGTCTTCCTGCCGGGGGGCAGGTGCAGCTGGTCCCGCTGGCCCAGGTGGTGGGGCAGGGCCAGGCCATGGATGTGGAGAGGACGCCCAGCCCAGGGGCCCAGGGGAGCCCCTCCCTGGAGCCTGGGGGACGACCTGCGTCTCCTGCACCACTGAGCACGGGTGAACAGGGCCCAAAGGTCAGCCCAGGGGCCCTACCCACGAGCTCTGGGGATCCTGAGGACACTGTCATGGCCTCTGGTTATGTTGCCTCTGCCAACCTGTTATTCACCTCAAACTCGGGGACCCCGTCTGTCTCCATGACTTCCTCGCTGGACCCCTCAGACCAGAACCCCAGCCTCTGTCCTGGGCTGGCCTACGGGCCCTCTGGAGCCCCGGCCCCCATGAAGCCAAGGTTTGAGGGCTATGTGGCACTCCCTCCAACCATGGGCCAGTCCCCCAATTCCCCCCTGGGCAGTCCTACCCCTCCTGCTGCCACCAGCCCTGTCCTGAGGCCAGGGGAGCCCCGGACGGATGTGGTCCCGGTATCCCCACACCCCGAGGGCCTCCTTGTCTTGCAGCAGGTGGGTGATTATTGCTTCCTCCCAGGCCTGGGGACTGGCCCTCTCTCACCACGGAGTAAGCCCTCTTCCCCAGGACCCTGTCCCGAGATCCAGGACCTAGACCAGGCTTTTCATGTCAAGAAGCCCCCAGGCCAGGCCATGCCCCAGGTCCCAGCCATTCAGCTCTTCAAAGCTCTGAAGCAGCAAGACTACCTGTCCCTACCCCCTTGGGATGTCAGCAGGTCTGGGCAGGTATGCTGAGAGTCCCCAGAGCTGGGGAGGCAAGAGGAGGGAGAGATTCTGCTTTCCCCTCATCCTGCCTTCCTCCTGGCCAGCTCCTTACCCCTTCCAGTCATTTCTGCAAAGCATGGAGGCTTCCTGTTGAGGTAGATGGAGACCTGGGTAAGAGTCAACCCTGCTCCTGTCCCCACTGACACCTCTCTCTGTCTCTCCAAAAAGCCGGTGCAATTCCCACTCCTGCTGGCCCCGGATGTGAGACTACCAGCCTATGTCTGGGCCTGTACTGGGGATTATAGTTCTTTTAAATCTTTGCCTTTCTGAAATATAAAAAAAGGCATTAAATTGCTTTTATTTGGATTATTTGTTAGTTATTAAGTTTGCACATTTTAAAATTTAAATTTTATTTTATAAGAGGCAAGGTCTCGCTATGCTGTCCAGGCTGGTCTTGAACTCTTAGCCTTAAGCGATCCTCCCACCTCGGCCTCCCAAATTGCTGGGATTTCAGGCGTGAGCCACTGCGCCTGGCCCAGTATGTATTTTTATCTGTATCTTGGCCATTGGTAGATTTATAATTGGGCTAAGCCCAATTTTTCTGATTATGTTTTTAAAACGATTTACCTATGTCCTCTCATAGATGGTGCAAATTGTTTCTCTGAGTTTGTGATTTGCCTTGTAATCTGTGTAAGAGGCTTTTTGGTGTACTCAGTGTTAACGGTGCTGTGCTTTCAAGAGAGAGTGTGAGCAAGCTCCTTCTCCACTTGGGGTGTCAAATTCGCAAGGACCCTCTCACTGCAAAGCTGTATTTGTCCTCATTTATCCTTTTTCCAGTTCTTTGTGTGTTTCAAACTTTCTGTGTAAAACTTGGTTTCTTCTGGAGCATGTGGCTGTGAGATGGAGGTGCCAGGCATCTCTGCAACATTTGTTGAATCCACTACCTTCTGCCGATGCATCTGAGATGCCACGTCTTTGGACTCAGGAGGGGTCCTTGTATGTCTACTGCTTTGGAGTCTAGACTTCCCGTCTCATTACCTGGCTCTCTCCATGGAAGCCACGGTTTTGATTATCCCAGCTTTACGGTGTATCTTCATAAATGGCAAGAGCAAGCGTTCTTGTTACGGTTGTTCATAAATCCTTGCTCCTTACAGCAGTGTGTGTGGTCAAAGAAGATTATAAACAACCTAAACGCCCACCAATACTGAACTTCATAACACGTTTTAGTACACTGTAAAGCAGAATCCTCTGTTAATAATGAGCCAGATACACCAGCGTGTATTAGAAAGAAGTTCAAGATATGAATTCCAAATTCCCTGGACATTGTTAAGGGGGAAATGATTGCAATAAAATACGTGTACTATAAACAAAACCCTGAACTTGTGTGTCTGTGCTGGAGTCGTTGGGGGGAGAAGTTGCTCTTTAGAGCCATGGTTGCCCTGTAAGGAGCTGCTTCTATTCAACGGAAGGGCTGAATCATGACAAGCATGGGATGGTGTGTGGATGCCACACAGTGAAGGGAAGTATTCAGTACCTACCAAGCAAGAAGCAGGGGCTCCTGGGAAATCCAGGAGGAATAAGGGAAGAGAAAAGATGGTGAGGGAAGACCAGAGGAAGAATGTATGCTAAAATGCCCCCTGCTGTGTTCTGACTTTCAATTCAACTGAACATCCTGCATTTGGTCTCTTATCATAAGAGTGAAAAACTCAGTAAGAGACAGAGTTTCCCATACAAGTAGCTGAGGGGGACTGAGAGTTTATTTCTGGCAGGTCCCATCCAAATGTCCTACTGACTCAACTTTTCAGGTCTCGGCAACTCTCTGAGGCCAATTTGTCACACCATTTCTTAACTGAGGAAACTGAGGCACAGAGAGCTCACACAGCTTGCTCCAGGTCAGCCAGCAGGGACAGGGAAGAGTCAGGATTTGAACCTTAGCCCTGTGATTCAGAGCCTGTCCTCAAAAGCAAGGACTTTCATCTAAAGACCCACACATGGAAGTGAGATGCTTCGTGTTGTTGGAAAGATAGAAAACTCCATCAACACAATTGACTCAGTGATGGGGGAGGTGGAGCCAGAGAGGAGCAGGGAAAATGTTTGCGTTTCTCTGGGGGCTGAATAGTGAGGCTGCATGTCCTCACACACTGGAGTCCCTAGAGACCTCTCCTGGAGGGCAGCATCTCTCTCATCTGTCTTCCCCTGAGAACCCAAGCCCAGAGCTGTGCACATAGTAGGTGGTCTGGAGGAGTGGTCATTGAGCCAGGCTCCAGGAGGTTGTCCCTTAGATGGGGTAGACAGAAAACTTACGGTGGGGGGTGGGGAGGCAAAAGAAAGGCAGAAAGCAAAACTGGGCCAGAGAAGCCATCAGGTCATCCAGCCCTGACATCTGCCCAACCACAAGAGTGAGACCTCCTTACTAGAATAGCCCACGTCCAGCAGTGTCCTGGGAAGACTAACAGCATAGCTGAAGCCAGCCTGAGTTCATATCTCAGCTCTGTCACTTGCTGTGTGGCCTTGAGCAAGTTACTTAACCTCACTGATCTTCAGTTTTCTGATCTGTAGAATGGGAATGATAATAGTCCCTTGCTCCCAGGGCACTAATTCTTTTGAAATTCATCCTATGGTGGATTCTCCTAGCCAGACTCAGGACATCTCCAAGGCGGCCTTATCATTGCTGAGTTTTATGTTATTAGAAGGATGTATTAGCAGGTGTATACAAAGCACTTGGACAGATCACGGCACGTAGGTGTTCAGTCTACATGACCTAGCTGTTACTATGGAAGGCACTGGGGGCACCCCAGGTGGTATGTAGGGGATCCCCTTCCTCAATCCCTGGCCAGCAGTGTCCTCTTGACCCAGACCCCAGGCATGCTTTCTCATTTCATCCATGTGTTTCCATCAAATAAATCTCTGAGCAGTGGTTACCTGCCCCCAGAATTGTCCCAGGCATACCTGAGAGGAGAGACGTCCTGCCTATTTGCCTGGGGTGATGGATAGAGTCTCATCTCCCTTGCAAGAGATGTGCCTCTAGTCCCTCAGCCCAAGCCACGGGCTGACTCTCCAGGTTTTTGCGTTTCTCTCTGATAAACTGCCAGTCCTGGTTTCCAGACAGGTTTTGGAGACCTGCCCGGAGGCTGAGATGTTGGCAGAATATGGAGCGTCCCTTGTGGAGTGTGTAATGTCAGCAAGGGTAGCTGGGGAAGAAGGACCATGGGCTTGGACACGTGGGCCTCAGATGGAGACATAGCAATCTGGGGTAGAAACATTACTGCAGGGTTCTGCTCACACTTGGCAGGCGTGTCAGGGTAAGTTCAGAGCTGAAAGATAGAATGATGAGATTTTGGTGGAATCATAGATGGAGAGCTCACAGCAGAAATGCTGAGCGGGGGTGGGGGGAGGTTGGAAACAGTCAGGGCCTTAGAAGTAGCAGGAAGGACCCCATGTTCACTTCCCCAAGAGAGATGAGCTCTGGCCTTGACTTAGCCTCTACCTGACCGTGTGAACTTATGAGGGGGAACCGATAAAATCCGGAATTATATTTTGGAGGGCGGTCCCCTGTAGTTCAGGCTCCCCGAGTTAGTTAGGAAGTCCAGGAACCCATCAGTTTCAGTATACCAGCTAGCTTTGTTGTGAGAGGTTGCATTCAGCTCCAGTAAATTTTTTTTTTCTTCAGATTCTTTCAACACATTTGCCCATTTCATGATGGGTGATTTGCAAACCTGCCCACAACAAGCTGAGCTTTCAGCAGTTTTTGACAAAAACAACATGACTCCTGAATCCCACCCTCCCTATTCACTCCATCCCACCCTGAACAACTCCCCCCGCCACCCCCCCTCCCCCCACTGGATAAAAAAGTCCTCAAAAGAAAACATTTTGCCAATGTGGAAGAGGTGAAACAAAAAACAGCAGAAGCCCTAAATAAAAGGTATCAAAATCTATGAGTTCGGAAATTGTTTTGAGCAGTGGAAAAGCATCTCGCTAGGTGTATTGCATCAAACGGAGAGTACTTTTAAGGTGACTGAAGTTTCAACAGGTGAAAATAACTACACAACTTTTTATAAATAAATTCCAGTGTTTTTTGCGCCACCCCCCCCATAGGTGTGACACTCACTGGCTCTGAGCCTGACTCTGAGCTCTCCTTTTCTGTAAAATGTGGATATTAAAAGATATTTAACAGTCTGTGTCCCAACTCCCATGGGCCAAGGGGAGCCCTTTGACCACAGTCTCTGGTGCCCAACCTGGTCCTCCTCCAGCTCCATCTCCCTGAGCCTGAGGGATGGCTGAATCCTCCTCTCAAGCAAAGCTCAGGGCTTCAAAAAGACCCAGGTCAACCATCACCATCACAGAACAGACTTCAGGAATACAAGAATACATCTGAAATGCTGTCAGTCCAGAAATGAAAAATTACTACAATTTTATTCTCATAAATGTTGGTATCCAAACTTTCAATGCTGACATTTTTCTGAGTAAGAATGCCAATTTCTCAGCACTGTTTGCCCCAGATTGTTCCTGAGTTTTCTCTCCTACAATCCCACTGGGCACAATAAACATTTCTGCTCAACCAGCCCATTGAATAATGTCTGTAATCTTTCAGGGCACAGTAGAGCATGATTCAGACAACGTTTCTGGTAATGTGCTTCTAGAAGAAATCTGTATTCTGGATTAATGGCTCAGGGAGACTCCCAAAGCCTTTGTCTTCAACATCTGAAAATGGCTGGCAGTCCACAGAAGTCATTTTTACAAATGTTTTGCTTAAATTTTAGCCTCCAGAGATGTAAAACTATGAGCAATTCCTTCCTAAAGCATTCTTGTAAAGTCTGCTGTTTTGAAGTTTGAATAACAAGAACAAAGCATGTTTGGGGTGTCTGGCTTATTTTGAACAATATTTTTCTTCACTCTCTCCATCGTCTTTATTATGTCTGATTAAATACGTTCTTTATGGATATATACTTGGTTTTGAACTTTTTTCCCTCTGTGAAATTTGGACATGACAAAGTTGATCTTTTGCTCTTAACATCTTCCTCACAAGACAT